CAGCCTCCTCGTTGACTCTGTCTATAACTGGATGCCAGTGTTTATTTTGGTCCCCCGTGCGTCGGTCATCTGTGTCGTGTCAACCCCGTCTCGCCATGACCTGCTTCGTGCACGTGCACGTTGGCCGTTGTGCTAGTTGGTGGTTCTGATTGTTTCACGCCGTCCGTAACTATTCGCTGATAAGAATGCTTTTACTGCAACCTAGAGAGCAGGCAAATTTAGCTGGCAGCTTACCGAACGGTCGATCGACATCCAGGCTACCGTAATCTACCTTGGCGTGCAATCATCACCCAGGGCCCACAATTTCAACGGCGTCTAAAGATGAGTAGACGAGAAAAACATCCCCCGAAACGTCAGCTATCATATAAACCTCTCCCGGGGAACGATCTTCCTTCTACCACCTGTGAATCGAATAATCACTGCTATTATATTCTTAAAAAGTTTAATTCTCATGTGTATAACAGCATGTTTCTACTGGATGCTATAGCTGTACCGAAAATAGCTAACATGAATTGGGCATCACTCAATAAGATTAGATGATTGTTACTGTGGCACTCGATTTAGTTTCATTGAATGAATTGGCATGACAGAGGAGTCACAAGACCTCTTTTAACATCAGTCCAAAAAAACAGAACTCCCGCACACTATTAATTGACAATGAGGAGGTGAAGCTAGAGGGCGATAGAGAAATGCGCTTCTGAATCTAAGTCGCGATCTTTTCTGCTCTCCATCCGCATGTAAATGTCTTATACAATACGGCCTTAAATTCGTGTAACATGCCGACATATGCGAAAGCTTGATATTATTTAGCTAATCGGCACTGATAAAGGTTGTTATACTGATTATCCTGTAGTCTATTTTGAAGTCATTTCAATCACGATAGGATGCCGGCTTGTTAACGAGCTTTCTTCTGACCGCTAACAAAACGTGTGTACTGTAAAAAGTGGCAACTTAAGTAGTATGCATTTTTATTATTGATTTTGACTGCCTTTATAAATTCAAATATATACTATGGAAAACATAAACGAAAAACGTATTTCTTGTACCCGTTCGGTAGCAAATTACACCTCCTTTAAATGTTTTACTTAAAGAAGGGGTATCTTTCGGTTATAATAAAGTTTCTAACTATGAGTTTTTTTACGATTATGAGGTATTCAATCGGTTTTAAAAAAATTTCTAATTTTGAGTATTTTTACGACTGTGCGCTGTTCATTCATAATAATGCATGCTACTTAAGTTGCCACTTTTTACACTACATCCGTTTTGTTTGCGGTCAAAAAGTGACTCGTTAAAAAGCGGGCATCCTATTGTGACTGAAATGACTTCAGAAAAGACTACAGGATAATCAGTATTACAACCTTACTCAATGCCGATTAGCGAAAGAGTATCAAT